TTTTCCACATTCGTGGTCCCCATCCACTTTTACTGTGGGAAAAAAAAAATCAGTTTGGATATTCTGCTAAATATCATCAGTATTTTCATGTCAAAACTTGCTCATCAAGACTGCATGTAAGTAATCAAATATAAAAACAGTAAAACAAACTGTAATATTGTGAAATATTTGTGCGATTTAAAATAGCTGTTTTCTATTGCAATATATTTTAAAATGTAATTTATTCCTGTGATGCTAAGCTGAATTTTCATCAGTCATTACTCCAGTCTTCAGTGTCACATGATCCTTCTGAAATAATTATAATATGCTGATTTGGTGCTTTAAAGCATTTCTTATTATTCTTGAATTATTTTTTCAGGATTCATTGTTTATAAAATAAAAAAAAAATAAAAAAATTGAATTACATATTTATATTTGTAAAATTATAAATGTCTTTTCTGTCACTTTTGACCAATTAAATGCATTCTTGCAAGATTGAGTTAAAAAAACAACCTTAATGCTCCCAACTTTTGAATGGTAGAATAAAAAAATGTAAATAAATAATTAATAGAAAATTTAAATAAATTGAAAATAAATTTACATTTAAATAAAAATAAATAAATTTATTTATGTAGATAAATCTAATTATTAAGAAAATATAAATGTATTTATTAAGAAAATAAATGAAATTTTAACTAGAAGCTTCTTCTAGTTTATCGTGTGCTTGCATGACCTTTATACCAACGGTGAACTCAGTCATTGAAAAACTAACCTCATCAATTACCTATAAGCTCTGACTAATCCCATAATTATTCACTAAACACATATGTCTCATGTACATTGTCAAATGGTATTGTATTTGTAATTGTGTTGCAATTGTGATGACCCTGTTTGTTTTCATTCAGTGACATGACATATGGCCAAGTATGGTTACCCATACTAGGAATTAGTGCTCTGCATTTAACCCATCCTAAGTGCACACACACAGCAGTGAACACACACCCGGAGCAGTGTGCAGCCCTTTATGCTGCGGCACCCGGGGAGCAGTTGGGGGTTCGGTGCCTTGCTCAAGGGCACCTCAGTTGTGGTATTGAAGGTGGAAGAGAAAGCGCTGTACATTCATTCCCACCACCTACAATTCCTGCCGGACCGGAGACTCGAACCTTTGGGTTACGAATCCGACTCTCTAACCATTAGGCCACGACTTCCCTACTTCAGGTGTTTGTAATCGTGTGGGCTGGCACTTAATTGCCTTATGTGCATACATTTCTAGACTACCAGACAAGTTTAAAATATGTCTCAGTTGATGACTCTTTATTGCACTCGTTCATATTTATTACACTAGTAAAAACAGGCAGACGACTGACACAAGAATGAATCATTGGCCCAAAATTGATCTGCGTCACTGGTGTCTCAGCTAGAAATGAATGGCTGCATCAGAGTGCAGACACTATTATCATCACTCAGCCTGCGTTCACTCACACGTGTAGTTAATTAACGCATTGGTTTGCATAGACCGTTAATGTAGATCAAGCTCCTGCTGGTCTTTGGCATGCGTGTCAAAAGAGGGTGAATGTGAGGATGATTGGTGCACTGAATGACTGGGCTCTTGAAATGACTGGGCTCTTGTCAATCACTGATGTGATTTGAAGTGCATTACCCCTCACCTCTCGCTTTCCACTGGAATCTTACCTCTCTGCCGATGCTGTTCATCCTTTCTGTCTGAGCCATTTTCCTGTCCGCCCTCTCAGAACATACTGGTAACAAAATAACAATAGATTTCAGAAACTATTTTGGTCTGCGTTTCCATGGAAACGCTCGGGTGTAAGTTGGGATAGGATTAGGGGGATATTGCCAATGTTTGCTGGCAAATATATATTAGCAGACTAAAAAGCTACATAGCTGGCTGTTGCTTGGAATAGAATTTCTGTGAATACTTGAAACATTCTTTGACATTTGGCAGATTTTATTAGTTTGATTCAATTGTGTTTCTGTAACAGAATAGACTTCTTTGTATTTTTCTTACTTTATCATTTTTTATGAAATATTACATCTTGCATCAGCTTAAAAGTATATATATATATGTACATAGAAAAGGATCTCACAAAATGTTCACCTATCCCAGTTTAAGCTATAAATATTGTTGAAAATAAGACTCAATTATTTTAATAATAATGATGATGATTATTATTATTATTATTATTATTGATGTTGTTACTAATATTACTATTATTAATACTAATATTACTAATGTTGTTGACAATAATAATAGTAGTAGTAGTAGTAGTAATATAGTAATAACAATAAACTTATTCATATATAATTTTGTTGTTGTTGTTATTACTAATGTTGTTGATGATAATATTAAAAACAACAACAACAATACAATTTTCATTTTAGGATTTTTATATTTTAATATTTTACTACATTGCATGTGTGGTTCAGTTTGGTTTTAAATTTTATCTTAAATTTTGAAAAAAGTTTATGCACGGACACACACGTACTGTGCATATTTAGATCTACACACATAGATTTTTGGTTAATGCTACATTCAAATAATATACTGTATATTTTTTAAATTATACTACACAGTTGCAGTATTCCTCAAACAAAATACAGATATAGTGCCAGTTTTACTAAACAGGGCAAATTAGCACAAGAGTGCAATTCCAAATCAGCGCCGATGGGCGTGTACATTTATGCAGGTGACGTAACTAACAATAAACGTAAATTTACTAACAATGTACAAATTAAAGAACACAGACGCAACATCTCATTTACATATCGACCAACGCAATATATCAAGCGCAGCGCAAATTAGCATAGTCGCAAATAAAGAATAAAGAAATAAAGATGCCTCAGTATGTTTAAAAGAACCGGAGGCCAACAAAATGAAGGGTTGCAATAAGTTTTGATAGACCTGGTATTGCGTGATTCCAAGTCATCTTTTATTCCCTGAAGCAAATTAAAAATAACATGGCTTGGCAAAAGATATGTTCGGATAATATGTTCTTCTGGCATTCCAAATAAATTAATATGTGTGGAGCGCTTGTCGGAAGGAGGGACTTTGTAGGAAACTAAGCGTTTGAGAGAGGCGGGGCATAGAGGACCTACAATAATGTACAGTATTTGAAAAATAATGTGTTTTTTGAACATTAAAGCATGTCAACATATTCTGTTACACCAAATACACAAAATAATGATCTTTAAAAAAGCATAATATGACCCCTTTAAGACATGCTTCTTTTGGCTGTTAAATAATGGCGCAAATGCCAGTAATTTGACGAGCGCAAACGTTAGTAAATTGCATTGCGTGATTCATTTGAATACTCTCCTCCCAGAAATTTTGCATCTGAAAGGGAAACTCCTACAAATGCATATTCAGTAACTAACTTCAATAAGTGAATAAATGTATCCACGCCTTTTCAGTGCTAATTCTGCACTGCGCGTCTTTAGTAAATCCTAACAGTGCTATTTTAACACCAAAAGACGGTTTGTGCTGGAGCAAGCTGTTAGTAAAACTGGCTCATAATTCAAGATCAGATGCAGATGCAGATATATATGAAGTCAGATGCAGTCAGAGTTCAGATGCAAAAGCCTCTAAGTGCCATCTGAAATTTGTGTCATATTTATATATTAAGTTAAACAGGTAAATACATTATTTTTGTATATTTACATCAAATGTACAGATATTAATATGATTTAACAATTGTAGCATCTCGACCAATCTGACACACTAATTTTTATTTGATTTAACAAATCAATTATTCATTAGATTAACAAATCGTCACAGTCCCCTCACTCAATAAACTGGATGCCAGGATTTCTGCAAAACACCAGGCCCCCTGGTCCCCATGACAACTAATCATGATATCACTGGTTTTATGACCCCCCAGGAATGTGAGTAGAATAACCCACTCATTGTCCCCATAGGAAAGGCACAGTAGAAATGGACTATGCTCTAATTAATTATGGTTAATTATTCATATTTCCCATGAGCTGATTCGTTACACAATACTTAATAAATTCCATAAACCCCTATTTGATATAACTGGACTTTGTTATTGCCAAAATCAAATGTATTTAGCTGTCATGATGCCAAAGAGACTTGATTCCTGTTCTTTAATCAATACTGAGGCCCTCAGCTAAATGAGACACTTAGGCTCATGAATGAGCAAGTGTATTTGGGTCCTTATTGGAATCAATAAACAGTAAAAAAAAAAAAAACTATTATTAACAGACAGAAGAAGTTCTAATCATCTTTTGTTATTATACATAAAAGTTAATTGTTAAACGCTTGTGTCAAAGGCAGCTAATCATAGTATGCTAATAGAATTACAGTATAAACATTATTGAATATTTTTTGAACCTCAGGTTCTTCAACCCTGTGTTATTTTAGCTCTCACTGTAGACCGCACAGAAGTGAAATATTCAGAAATTGACATTTCCAAATATCACCAGCAACTGAACATGTTTTTGTTTGACTTCTTTTTCTCTCTAGCCTAAGTAATGAAGCGCAGTAAGGCAAAATAAACTCATTGCTTACCAATGCAATTCTGTGCTCTAGCCTATCATTTTAATAACTGACGTACTCCACGTTATTACGTGACCCTCTGTAATACTCGATTCTGATTGGTTAATCGAGATGTTCTGCAGTAAAATATCACATATCCCTCATATCGCTCCATTGTATTTTTTCTCACAAATTTAAATCATTTTAAGCTTGAATAAATATTCAGTGTCTGTCTGTTTGTTTATTTATTTATTCACTGTATGATTTTATAAATATTTTATACAGATTATTTGACCTATTTTACCTTACATTTATAATATATATATATAATTTTAATTGACATAAGGAGCTGTGTAATTTTATATTATATTTATCTATAATATGTAATTACAGGTCCAAAATAGAACAAATCAGGTTTTATGACAAGAAGAGCTTCATTAAACTATGTACATACTGTTAAGAGAATGTACCATTAAGACATGACTTTCCTACTTTACTCGCTAGGTTCTGTCCATCTGTCCTAAGGACATGCGTGCAGACATCTGTGTGCACCTCAACAGCCAGGTGTTCAACGAGCACCCTGCCTTCCGGCTGGCCAGTGACGGCTGTCTGCGCTCTTTGGCGGTGGAGTTCCAGACCACACACTGCGCTCCAGGAGATCTCATCTTCCACGCAGGGGAGAGCGTGGACACTCTTTGCTTTGTGGTTTCTGGATCGCTGGAGGTCATTCAGGATGATGAGGTTATTGCCATTTTAGGTGAGTTAAATAATTCTTTCCACACTAAAAAAATACAAGCGAGACCACAGGGGTTAGTTGTCACATAGGGAAGTCATCACAAGGGCTATATTATTTTATAGCAAGTTACTATAAGATTTTGTGATATAAAAAAATCTTTTTTTTGTGCTAAAAATCCAAATACAGAAATGTATGTTGATTTGAAACACCTAGCTTAAACAGCTAATTCGGCCTACTAAACTAAAATTGGGTAAACAAGTGAACACAGTAAAACCACACTACCATACATTAACACTAAATTAACTAGACTCTGCTAGATCTACTAGAAATTTGATTTTAACTGGAAGTTTGAACTATATTCACACACATTCTGTATGTTGCCTTTATTAATAATAATAATAATAATAATAATAATAATTTATTAATTCATTCAATTATTCATTATTTTTTCTTTTTTTTCATGAGAATGTGAGGACTCTCTAGAAAATTAGATGTTGTATCTCAGTCTATCTTGGCTAAAAATTCCTGGAGACCAGAACAATGGTTTGATTTTAACTTTTAGATTTTTGTTGTCATTTGTCTTTCACTTTTTCACTTAATGAGCAGTGTTATTTTAGTATTATCTATGCACTAATATATCATTATTAATATTAGTTTGTTACTATATTTTCATTTTTCATTCTAATTCTAATTTTAATTTAGTAATTTTAGTAATATGCATTTTAATTTTAATTTCTTTTTTTATTTTTCTTCATCTTTAATTTTTTTCAGCTTTAGTCATTTTTAGTACTTAAACTAATTTTAATTCATTGCCAAGAAAATATTTCAAATGTTCATTTACAATTTTAAGTTTCTAAGCTTTTCATTTCCTTTTATTTTAACTTTATGTCAGTCAATGAAAATTATTTCTAATAGTCTTAGTTTGAATTAATAGCAAGACCGGCAAAGTTGCCATTGTGACAACTGCCTCTCTCATCTTTTTAAGTGGGAGAACTTGCACAATTGGTGGCTGACTAAATACTTTTTTTCCCCACTGTATGTGCCTGTACAAAAATTAACTTTCAAAAATACTCGAGAAATATTCACTGGCATGAAACATGTGACAGTATCCAAAATATTCCGTTTTTAAGCAGCCTGAATATTCTTAAACAAATACAGAACCCTGTTTTATTTCAATATATACTTTGCTACTGCTGTTAATATTTTCTGCACAACATCCCGCATTCTCATTAAACTCAAGAAAGCCCAATGCTGCACAATTAGCCAGTTTGTACTACAGTAATACTTCAGAGCTCTGCAGGTTTTTCCTGAGGGCACACACTGCAGCTCCAAAACATATCAAGCTTTGGATAAGTGAAGAAAAAAACAAACCTATAAAGGGCACAATACTAATGCAGTGGATCCTAAAAGATGGTTTTCACACAGGATCTTGCAAAGTGAACTTGCTAGCGTTCATTCTCCGAAGTAACATAAAAGCCCACAGTCTGCTCCTTGCGTTATATGTGGCATTTGTTACTCTGTCCACACCGTCTCCTTATCCTGCAGTAATGGAACTGTGGGGACTGATTCTCCGTTCATTGATTGTTGAGTCTTTTGTTTCACAGGGATGTGCACTGATAGTTCACACAGTCTCCAGTGCAGCCAGTGCTCTAACAATGACCAGATTTGTTGTCAAGAGAAAAAGGCATTTTTTTAAGCATGCAAACTGCTTTTATAAAAGATGAGTAAGTCCTGGCTCGTAAACCTCTTATTAAAAATGGACAAAACAATAACTATCCTGACATTGTTGATCTGTCCAATTGTGTACAGCTTTATTTTTTTCATAAATTCTCTGAAACAAAAGGACAGTTACTACCTCCTTATTTAACTCTGAGCCTGGAACCAATTCCACTATGAACAATAAAAACAAGACAACGATTTAGTTTTGATGAACACGTGCACATACAGGCACGTTTTAAGACTTTTTTCTCTCTTTGAATCGACTATTTCTTGATCTCTTCATCTCTCGAGTACCGCTGATGTACCGCTGCCACAAGAATGTGACGTGCCCTTCACTGACTTGTGTGTAACTGCAAACGACATGACATTAGACCTTATGAGACACTGTAGAGAGGAAGTTAACGTCTCTTCTCTTTAATGGGGATTTGGATCAGATGCTCTTTTGCTTTAATGATTATGAAATTAAATAAGATGCGAACGCTGTGAGTTAATTAGCCCCAAGGCGTTTACTTGAACCCACCAGACTAAACCTGCTGGGCTCCTAATGATGCCCCTCATCAAAAGCACTGAACACTGGGTACTTTGTATAGATACTCTCCTGAGTGTGGTGTGTGAACTTAGAAGATACTGTACCTATGTCATACTGTAGTTAGATCTATGGAAGCTTGTTTCTGCCACGGGATTAAAAAAATACAAAAGGTAATTGGGTCTTTTTATCCCACAATTCTGAACTGTAGGATATAAACTATTCATTTTGAGATACAAAACATTTGAGATACATTTTTCCCCCCACAATTCTGAGTTTATGTTTCACAGAATTCTGAGTTTACATAATTCTGTTCTGTTGTTTTTGCTATGGAATAAAACATTTTCATTTTCTTGTAATTGTGAGTTAGCATCTTGCAATTCAGATTTTTTTTTTTATAAAATTGCAGTTCTGAGTATATCTCACAATTTAGATTTTATATCTCGCAGTTCAGAGGAAAAAAAGCCCCAACTGTGAGATAAAATTCGCAATTACCTTTTTATTTTATTTTTATCCCGTGGAAAAAACAAGCTTCCATGAAGATCAAATCTGTATTTTTGTATTTTTGTACTGTCAGAGTACAAAAATGAAAAACATCAACTATCAATATTTATCGTGGCAGTAAAAAGTATATGAACCTTTAACTTGCATTTGTGCAGAGATTACTCATAAAATGTGATCTGATCACAACACCAGACAAACAGGCTGCTTAAACAAATAACAGAAAAATTAAATGTTTTCATGTCTTAATTGAACACATAGGGCTGGACGATATGGCCAAAATTTATATCACGATATATTTCTTAATTTTGGCCGATACGATATAATTCCGATATCGATATGACCACTATTTATCTGAAATAGAAATCTTTTGTAACATTATAAATGCCTTTATCATCACTTTTTATCAATTTTAAGCATCCTTGCTAAATAAAAGTATTAATTTCTATAATTTCTTTCCCAAAAAAAATAATAAAAATTATACTGAATGGAATCGTGTATAATGTTACAAAAGCTTTTTATTTCAGATAAATGCTGATCTTTGGATCTTTCTATTCATCAAAGAATCCTGAAAAAAAGTACTCAACTGTTTTAAATATTGATAATCAGCAAATCAGCATATTAGAATGATTTCTGAAGGATCATGTGACACTAAAGACTGGAGTAATGATGCTGAAAATTTTGCTATGTATGATCACAGGAATAAATTACATTTTAAAATCTATTCAAATAGAAAGCAATTTAAATAGTAAAAATATTTCAAAATTTTACTGTTTTTGCTGTACTTTGGATCAAATAAATGCAGCCTTGATGAGCAGAAGAGAATTCTTAAAAAAAAAAAACATAAAAAATCTTACCGTTCAAAAACTTTTTACTGGTGGTGTTGGCTGATTATTCTTATAGATTGAAACAAATGTGCTTCAGCCAGAAAAAAGGATATGAAACGTGCTCTGAGTCGCTGCAGAAAACAAAAAAATTGAACAACAACAAAAACTTGGAAATGTTGCTGGAGACAGGCTTATTGAAAATGCAAACTCATTCTCTGCCAGCAGGAGGCGCATTTAGAGTGATAAAACTAGCTGTTTCCCCGGTAACGGCTGTAATCAAAGCAGCTCTGCTCATGAACACTTCTTTATCAGATCAAGTGAAAATGCCATCGAAACTTTTCTGAAGACAGTCGGTTCCCTTCAGAGATACATTCATATAAAACCGTGTTATGTTGCCGTGTTATGATTTTGAAACGTGCAGTGCTCATGTTTATTCAGCGAAGTCAAACGCCACAAATAAATCAATGTATGGCAAACACTGGTAATGTATATCGAAATATCGGAAATGTGTTTAAAAATCATATCCCCGTTATTGAAAAAAATTATATTGCGATACATATTGATATTGAATTATTGTCCAGCCCTATGAACACATCGTGTAAACATTCACAGTGCATGGTGGGAAAAGCATGTGAATAAAAGTATTAATTTAAGTTTTAAAATCCAGGCAAATCCAAAGGGTTTGCATTCTTTTTTCCTGCAACTTTATTTCTGATGTGGTTTCAAACTACGCTCCCTGTCTGCTGTCCCAGGTAAGGGTGATGTGTTTGGTGATGTGTTCTGGAAGGAATCCACACTGGCTCATGCCTGCGCTAACGTGAGGGCTCTGACATACTGCGACCTGCATGTCATCCGGAGGGACGCGTTACTCAAAGTGCTGGAGTTCTACACGGCCTTCGCCAACTCCTTCTCCCGAAACCTCATCCTCACCTGCAACCTCCGCAAGCGGGTAAGCGCTACTTACATGTTATCACCAAACATCACATTCTAATGGCAACAGACTTTTGCTGAATCTCTTCTAAAAAGCCTTGGAGAATAGAACTCAAACATGATCGCCCACTTTTTCTCAAGTCTTGGTTCGAGAAGGCTTTTTTCCTGCATTAGCATTTAAAAATCTAGACTTTAGAAAACCTGAATAAAACCAACTAGCTCTACGGTGAGTTACATGAAGATAATCTTCGATTTGAAGCAAAAAAGTACAGTAGACAAAAACCAGATACAAAGAAAAAAGACAAGACTGTTTACTGCTTTGAGTGAAATAAACAATTTTGTTATTATTCTTTTTATACTTCTTTTTCTTTTGCCATATCAGTCAGATTTTTTGTTTTAGAGATTCAAGCACATCCTGGTGCACTTTGACCTGAATGTGTGTTGTGAAGTCCTGCTGTGTGCTGTGTTGGCATGAGAACAGAGCTCTGTTGTGGCTTTCAGACCTGACCTCACATTCCTTAAATACATAAATGATTCATTCTGACAGACCGCCCATGGAGAACTTTGGGTCTCTTGACAAAAGAAAGACCCTGTGCACTCAAAACACAATTAGAAGACCTCAGCTGTGCACTTTACTGCCATTGAGTTACATAATTGGTGAGCATTGTGTAAAACTATATTTAGATGCAAAAATGTCCTCTCTTGCTGTATCTCATCTATATTATTGAGGAAACGATGCACTGAAATTAGGTGTGTTATTAAATAAGGAGGGAAGGGAGATCCTTCTTGTATGCCTTCAAGTAAACAAAATAAATTACTAAATTATTTCATAGAACTGCTGGACTTCTTGGACACAGGCAGGAATCAGTGAGCCATGATATTAATTTATTTCCTCTGGCCACAGCAAAAAAGGACCTGTCTAATGAGAGGATATTTTGCTAAGGGCACAAATTAATTGATTTAAAGGTTTATGGTTCTTCAAGGTCTCTGAGTAACTTTGAGTTCATGAATTTTGCATGCAGTTGATTTGTAGAGCTTGGGATATGTCTTTCATTAGTAGACTACATGCTTTCACTCCTAATGAAAAATTCTTGTTACATTGTGGTTTTTAATGTACATACAGTGATTTTACTGTTGATTATTATTTGAATATGCTATCTTAGACTTTAGATCCATTGTTTATATTAGACTTAAGAACCATCATTTAGAGTGACCAGGCTGAGGTGAAAATAGTGTGAAGTGTTTTAAGGGCAGACTTCTTTGTCGGTGGAGTGACAGAGGCTGCCCCATCGCCCCGCTGTGCTCAGTCGACTGGGTAATGCTGCTGATGGGCCGGCTATACTGAGGAGAAATGGCCCCCCGCAGCACACACTCTGAATAAAGCATGAGTCAAATCAGCAGGAATATACACACACACACACACACACACACTAACTAACACACACCACACACATTTATCATGCATGATAATAAGAAGAAGTGTGGCCTCCTACTAATATTATTATGTTATTGTCATCTCATCTTCACCCTACACACAACATGACAAATGTTGGTCACGTTGTGTTGGTGTTGGTCAGAAATTTAAATTTGTAATTATAGCATGTGAAATATATAATATACAATCAATATGTAATTACTGGACTATTTAATGATATTTGAATAATATTAATATATTCATATTAATTCATCAGAAGTCCCTTATGCTCACCAAAGCTGCATTTATATAATCAAAAATACAGAAAAATGAATAATAATATTGTGAAATATTATTATTAGAATTTTAAATAACTGTTTTTATTATTAATTTTAATATATTTTAAAATGCAATTTATTTCTGTGATGGCAAATCTGAATTTTCAGCAACCATGACTTCAGTCTTCAGTGTCACATGATCCTTCAGAATTCAAGAAAAAAAAAATTATTAACATTTATTATTCAATTTTATTATAAATTTTTTTGGATGAGTAGAAAAGTAAAAAAAAAAAAAAAAAAAACATTTATTTGAAATAGAAGTGTTTTGTAAAATGTCTTTACTGTCACTTTGGATCAAGTTTAATGCATCCTTGCTGAATAAAGTGATTAATTACTTCTTCAAAAAGATACAAAATCTTATTCACCCTAAAAATCCTGGATTTTTTTTTTTTACTGCGCTCATCACAATGCATTCTGGGAATGGGTGAAAGATATTTGTGATGATGCCTTAGAATTTGGCTAAAAAGAGGTGTTTTAGGAGGCGGCATTATTATAAAAATAAAAGATTCACAGCCCAAGTTCTCACACTTTCTTTAATGGCTTCTTCAGCTGTCCTTCAGACTCCCTCATTATCGCTTATCTCTGCTGGTCAATGTCTGAATGCCTCACTGAGGTCCTGATCGTAAGGAAAAAAGCTCAGTGAAAGCCCTGTAAATATCTCTGAAGCACAAGTCACTCTAGAGCCGCAGAGCCCCAGGCCTTTGGTCACTAGTGTGTTGGTGAGTGAATTTGTCCCAACGTGATCTCATGATAATTCGTATGTATTTTACGTAAAATGTGGTTCTATAAAACGTACATTTACTTACGTATTTTCAGCATTTTAACGTACAAAATTGACGTATTGACGACACCTAAAAATTAATCCTCATGAATATTGAAATCGCGGCATTAATTTTATTTTTTAGTTGTCATATGAATTACCTTGTTTTCAATTGCATTATTAAATTGTTTACTCATTTACTTATGAAATTATAACATATCGTTTTGTTGTGTGATTTCTGCTACCAGCTCGTTTCCAAGAATATGCCTACATAATGTTAAACACGACTTCACTTTAAACCTTAAAATAAATAACATTTCTGCAATCGTTTAACCTTTACTTGTCATGTAATGTTTACTTTGATTGCCATGGGCCACAAAAGGCGTTTTCTCCAACATGCTGTGACTAACAATAGAACTATAAAATATGCCAAAATTTAGGTTTGGGGGCAGGTTAAGGGGTCTAAAAATCTAAATCGCTTATTGATAAAATGATAAAAATACATTGATACGAATATCTTAATGATATAAAAGATACGTAAATATTTTTACGTTTTTTTAGCTAAAAATACGTAGTAATTTGTACGTTTTAAATGTTGAAATACGTCTAAATTGTACATTTTAGCATGAATAAAAACATACAAAAGTGTACGTTTTGTGCTTGTAAATGTTACGTATAAATACCTACGTATAAACATGAGACCAGGCTGATTTTTCCACAGCTTTACATTCAGTCATGGATTAGCTGTGCGGTGTGCTTTGAAAACTTCCTGTGAACTCTCTTTTTTAGTTAAAGTAACTCATGTGGTTCATGATGGTCAGAGTAGATCACATTAAGCTTTATGGAATTGATGAGCTTTGATGGTTTGACATTAACAGACATTGTTTGGCAGTTTTAAAGGAAAGGTCTGAGTTTATCTATCCCGTTTCGAGGCCACATGTTCAGTAGACGATCCCTTTGCTAGATCAGCTGACAATGCAAGCCAATCTCAAACGAATGCTCCACCATTACCCGCTAGGCTCACAACTCTGTCTTTGGCTGCTGATTAGTGTCAGATCTGAGCCTTTTTTTTTTGCCCGAGCTGATTCATCTAGGCAGCAAACGTAAAGAGGAAGCAGAATCCTCCACACCTGCCACGCTTTCCTCCTAACAAGATTTACAAGGCCTTTGGAAAGCTGCAAACCCCTGCCAATAAGGTGGGCGAAGCAACTTTATCATCCCCTCCATTACCAGGCCAGGCAGAGAGATGCTCTCTCAGCAACAAGAGTAAGATTCATACAGAAATCATCAGAACACAGTGTGTCCACACAGAAAATAAGCCATGCTTAATAGAACAGCTCACTTGTTTGGTGCATTGACCAGCAGTGTTCCACAGTGAATCCTTTTAAGAATTTTTCATTCATGGATCTTTTACGTCCATTTTTAACGCCTTGCAAACATGAACGTTTGGTTTTCTGTGATACACTCTACATTGTTGTTGCAAATTCTGAGGATTTGTCACCAAGGTAATGTTGTCTAGCTGGATGACATGGATAGGGTTTTGTCAAATTTGCAAAAATTACGCACTAGTCTTGGAAGCATTAGTATGAATGTGTATGTACTGTACTATTCAAAAGTTTGGGATTAAAATTCTTTAAAAGTGACAGTAAAGACTTTTGCATTGTTAGAAAAGATTTTTAACGCTGATCTTTTGAACTTTCGATTCATCAAAGAATCAGCATAGTTAAAAATGTTTCTTGAGTAGAAAATCAGCATAGAATGATTTCTGAAGGATCATGTGACACTGAAGACAAGAATAATAAATGCAGATAAAACTTAAAAAAAAAAAATCTTACCAACAACCCCAAATAAATGTTACTGTGGGAGTATGTATATAGTGACATGCTGAACTCTAAAAAAAACTATTACTAAGTGCATTTTATGCCTTTTTCAAAGGCAAGCAGTATAGTAAGGGCATATATGAGAAAACTGCTGTTAGGGTGCAGTCTGGTTGTAGGTTGTGTGCATGTCTGACTGTGTGCATACATGGGTATCTAAAAACGTGACACAGAGAATATTCAAGTATTAGCTCATTTTGAGAGATTTTGTGTAAGAAAAGTGGTCAGTTGTATCCCAAAGGAGGCAATACACATTTTTTCCATTTGTATTTGGTAAATAATTAATAGAAACAATTACAGCTGCTCCGTCTCATTGCCAGAAGGCAGTATTGAGGTATCTGTACAAATTCTTCCTGGAATCTGGGCAGGACACGTTCAGAAATTGTATGTAAATACCGGTAATGAGACTGGCTGATCTTGTGCTGCAGGCTGTTTCAGTTCTTAAATCTTTGTTGATAAGTTTGAAAAGCAAAGCAAGTAGATCACTATAATATTTTCTGTGGCCACTGTGGACATTATCGATAAAAATAGTAACTCTAATGGGCCATATGCCTTCTCTTACAGAATTACTTCAGGGATACATCTAAACTTCAAACGCAATATCTCAGTGTACCAAAATTACTTCAGAAG